CACATAAGCAAAAAGAAAAAAGCCAGAAGTGGTGCTGTGGCTCAAGTGGTAGAGTGCTAGCCTTGAGCTGAAGAGCTGAGGGATAGCGCCCAGACCTAGAGTTCAAGCCCAGGACTGGCAAAAAAAAAAAAAAAGATTATCAGTTGCTAGTATCAGATTTATAAGATCAAAGAGCATAAAAGTTTTTTCTGTACTTTTTTAAATGTTAAAATTGAAATTAAGAATTACATATAGGGGCTGGGAAGGTGGCTCAGTGGTAGAGCCGCTTGCCTTGCATGCTCGAGGCCCTGGGTTCGATTCTTCAGCACCACATAAGCAAAGAGAAAAAAGCTGGAAGTGGCACTGTGGCTCAAGTGGTAGAGCGCTAGCCTTGAGTTGAAGAGCTGAGGGACAGTGCCCAGGCCCAGAGTTCAAGCCTCATGACCGGACCAAAAAAAAAAAAAGAATTACATATAAAGCTGGGCACCTGTAATTATAGCTACTCAGGAGGCTGAGAACTTAAGGTCTCCATTTGAAGCCAACTTCCACAGGAGAGTCCATGAGAAGCTTATCTCCAATTAACCACCAAAAAGCTGGAGCTGTGGTTCAAGTGGTAAAGCACTAGTCTTGAATGTGCACACATGCACACACACACACACACACACAAAAGGCTTAGGGACAGCACCCAGACCTTGAGTTTAAACCCCAAGACCTGGACCAAAAGAAAAATGAAAAAAAAAAAAAGAATGTATGTGTATTTAATCTTGTTTTTTTATTTTATTTTGGTCTATTGTATGAACACAAGAGATATTCTTGGTGTTTTATCCTTCCCTGAACCACATGTGTGTGCCCCAGACATTACAAGTAATGATGACTTCATAGACTATAGTTTTTAATGTTTTTCTTTTTCAAACTGAAAAGATTACCATCAATAGTTAAGATGATTTGACAGCAAATACTTTTCAATTTTGAGTGGTGGGGCTTTGGGTTATTTGGTGTTGTTATTTTTTTTGTGTGATGCTGGGGTCACACCCAGGGCTTTCCATGCTAGACAGGTGTGTGGACAGTGAACTATGCCTTTTAACCTCCCCTTTTTCTTTTTCCTTGTCTCTTAATTTTATCTACAGGCATTGTAAAGGGATTTTATTGTGATCATGCCTGGCTTCTCTTTTCCCCAGGGAACGATTCTATTAATGAATTCCTTATCTTTGTGTAAAATAGTACTTTAAGAGGAAAGATTTGTCTTTTCATTCTGTAAATTTCATCTTAAATATGACCACTTGAAAGCATTTTTGCTAATTCTCTCTTTAGGGAAAAATGTTTTAAATAGTAATCCTTAGCACAGATGTTTTATTTTTTTATTTTTATTTTTTATAAATGCTGCCTCTTCCTCTTTTTTATTTTTTTTCAAATTATTGTGATTAGTGATTACATAATTTCCCAAATTTCACAGTATTGTGGGATAGTGATGCTTAGTTAAAGTCACAAACACATTCTAACTTCCATGGGGCAAATTGTCTATCGTGGTCTGTAACATTTATGAGTTCTATGAGCTTTGTAATACAGTTATTTCTTCCACATTGGTTGATATGTACATTTCTTTTGTTTTGCATAGCATCAACTGTTCCCTCTTTCCCTCTAGAGCTGTTTCCATGCTAGACTTGGATGCTAACTTTGAACAGCTGTTTTCTCATCTTCAGATCATCATGCACGTGTTTTGCACCTACCTGGATTCCAGATTACCTCCACATCCTAAGTACCCAGATGGGAAAACATTCACTTCTCAACACTTTGTTCAGACTCCAAATAAACCAGGTACCAGCCTCTCCTAAAATAATGAGTCAAGATTTTTCACATGAAGAATCTCTATTGGTTTTGTTTTTTAATGCAACATTTTCTTTACAGATGTTACGAATGAGAATGTTTTTTGCATTTATCAGAGTGCTGTCAACCCACCACATTATGAACTAATCTACCAGCGCCATGTCTATAATCTTCCAAAGGTATTTATATAGAAGTTGCTGATAAAGGGGCTGGGAAGGTGGCTCAGTGGTAGGGCGCTTGTCTTGCATGCCTGAGGCCCTGGGTTCAATTCCTCAGCACCACATAAGCAAAAAGAAAAAAGCCGGAAGTGGCGCTGTGGCTCAAGTGGTAGAGCGCTAGCCTTGAGCTGAAGAGCTGAAGGACAGTGCCCAGGCCCAGAGTTCAGGCCCCACAACTGGACCCAAAAAAAAAAAAAAAGAAGAAGTTGCTGATAGAATGTCATGGATGATTTACTTTTTTTATAACTTTAAAATTAGAATATCTTATTTATAAAATACATAGTAAGCTTTTTGAAAAAGTATTTCTTTTAAATTCTTCTTTTCTTTTTTTTTTTTTTTGGTCAGTCCTGGGGTTTGAACTCAGGGCCTGGGCTCTGTGCTTGTGCTTCTTTTGCTCAAAGCTAGCTCTCTACCACTTGAGCCACTGCACCACTTCCAGCTTTTTCTGTTTATGTGTCGCTGAGGAATCAAACGCAGGGTTTCATGTGTGTTAGGCAAGCACATCCCCAGCCCTTCTGTTCTTTTTTTTCTATAAAAGAAATGTGTGTGTAATTTGGGAAAGTGAGAAAAAAAAAAAGAAGAAAAATTACTCATCAAAGGCTGCTCTTAATTTTTTTTTTTTTTTTGTTGGTTGTGGGGCTTGAACTCAGGGCCTGGTACTGTCCCTAGGCTGTTTTGCTCTAGGCTAGAGCTCTACCACTTTGAGCCACAGCTCCACTTCTGGTTTTGGAGTGATTAATTGGAGATAAGAGTCTCACAGAAATTTTTCTGCCTGAGCTGGCATCAAACTGTGATCCTCAGATCTCAACCTTCTGAGTAGCTAGGATTATAGGCATGAGCAACCAGCGCCCTGCTACATTTTAGTTTATTACCTTTTGGAAAGTGTCATCTTGATCTTTCTGTATTTTTATTAAATAAAATCATGTATGCAGTCTTACATTCTGCTTTTTAAAATTATAGTTGAGTATTAATGGTTCATGTCTGTAGCCTATTCATTCAAGATGCTGAAATTGGAAGACAGGTTTGAAGCCATCCCAGGCAGGAAAGTCCATTTAACCACTCCAATTAACCACCAAAACACCAGAAGTAAGGGACAGTGTTCAAGCCATTAGTTTAAGCCCCTGTACAGATAGACACACACACAATGTATGTACAGATTTTCCAGGCATGAAAGTGCAGTGAAGAGGGCTGGGAAGGTGGCTTAATGGTAGATTTTTTGCCTAGCACTCATGAAGCCCTGGGGTTTGATTCCTCAGTACCACATAAACAGAAAAGACTGGAAGTGGTGCTGTGGCTCAAATAGGTAGAATGTTGCCTTGAGAAACTCAGGGTAAGTGCCTAGACCCTGAGTTCAAACCCCAGGACTAGCAAAAAAAAAAAAAAAAAAATGCATTGAAGAGCATGGCACAGTTGTTCAATTTTTTAAAGTGGCATTAAGTTTCAACTACTAAACAGTACTCTACGACAATACAGAATATTGTCATGCTCTTTTTTAAAAAATATAGGCATTTTACTCATGATTGCAAATGTAAGTTATGTCAATAATCTTTGCAAATTTTTGTTATGAGTTTTTTTTTATTGTGAGAATACCGTATCAGAATCTTTAAAAAAAAATTTTTTTTTTCAGTTGTAGGGCTTGAACTCAGGGCCTGGGTACTGTCCCTGAGTTTTTTTGCTCAAGGCTAGCACTCTACCACATCACCTGTGATTTTGTTGTTGGTTGGGTTTGTGTTTATTTGAAATAAACTCTCCCTGTGAAGGGTAGGATTGGAAGGGAAGGGAGGAAATGATGAAAGGAGTGACACTGATCTAGATGCATTGTACTCACAAACTGATATGTTGAATGGTAATCCCCTTTATACAACTACTTAAAGATAATAAAAAGTCCCACCATATAACCCCTGCTTTCACTGTATTTGATGTTGGTATAATCTGTGGAAGGGAAGGGAAGGGAAAAAACAAATCGTTTATCTAGGGATACAGGTGGACCCATTGCAACAATGAGATGTACAAGTTGTTATGTTGAACTTTGGCTGGGGGGAGGAGGGGGGGGGCAGGAGAGGGATATGGGTGGGGGGGGCGGGATAGGAAGGGGAAACAAAGGAGGATGCAACAATGCTTGATAAGAAATGTACTCATTATCTTGTCCGTGTAATTGTAACCCCTCTGTACGGTATTTTCATAATAAAAAATTTTTTTTAAGATAATAAAAAGTCTTACTATATAGCCAAGGCTAGCCTCAAACTCCTCAGTTCTAGTGAGTATGTACAATGCAACTTACTGACTATAATATATTGTGTTCTCTCCCAGATGCTCAGGCGGAGGTACTAAGTTCATTTTGAGTAAGCAAGTAAAAGTTAATCAGTAAATTGAGAATATAAATGAGCTACTTTTATAGGCCAGCAATTCAATATAACAGCTTGGTTTTAGAGCCAGCAAATGCTGCCTAGTAGTCCCTTGTAGACAAAATAAATTTATATTTAGCCTGTCTCTTATATACTGAGGTATATTACAGTGAACACTCTTTGTTAAGGTGTTAGTTGGTTGGGGAAAAGGATGCCTTTTATATGTAGTGTAGGTGCACCAATGAGACTTTTTCAGCCTTACCAAATACTGTTCCTTCCACGAGACCATGCCCCCCATCAATATGTCAACTTCCTGCTCATGTTTCAGATCTCTATTTTGAAACCTTTTCCTTAAGCACTCCCTGCCTCCCCAGTCTAAGTGAGATGCTTTCCTGTGTTCCTGTGACATCCAGCAACCACTCTTGACATTTTGTACACACCGCAGAATTCTTAGTTTAATGCCTGCTTTTTCTGCTCACTGTTAACTCCTCATTACAAATTCTTATATATTCACCACAGTATTCCCACTTCCTAGTACAAAGTATAGAATCATTGTGGAATGAAAGAGAGTCAGAACTATGTGAAATTTTGAGCTGTAGGATATTGACTTATGAATTGACCCACCTAAATCCTTTTGGTTTACTTGTTTTTGGTCAGTCGTGGGGCTTGAACTCTGGGTCTGGGTGCTGTCCCTCAGCTCTTCAGCTCCAGGAGAGCACTCTACCACTTGAGCCACAGCGCCACTTCTGGTTTTCTGGTGATTTTATTGGAGATGAGAGTCACGGACTTTTCCTGCCCGGTCTGGCTTTGAACTGTGATCCTCAGATCTTAGCCTCCTGGGTAGCTAGGATTACAGGCATGAGCCACTGGTGCTGGGCTTGGTTTACTTTTAAATCTTGTCTTTTGTGTCTTCGTTCTAGGGTCGAAACAATATGTTTCACACACTGCTGATGTTCCTGTACATAATAAAGACCAAAGAGTCAGGAATGCTTGGGTAGGTATTTATAAATCTAAAACATCATCATCTAGTTTATGTACTGTTTTGCTCCCTATGTTAATATTCTTCATATGGCAACATTATATAACAAGATTTGTGGACTGAATTCTAAGTACATCCCTATTGCCAATGATGTCTGCTATCTTGGGCAAATCTATTAACTCCTCAGACCTCCATTCTCCCACTAGTGGGAAGTTACAATTGTGTCTTCAGGAATAGCCCCAAGATAGATCAAATCATGCTCTTGCCACTAATCATTTTTTAAAACCAAAAGCTTTAGAGTCTGTTTTTTCCCCCAAGTCATTCTGTATCTTAGATAAAGCATTTTGCAAACCTTTTACCCTTCCAGAGGGCTGTTAATTATTGTGGAAAAAATAGTCCATTGAAACGGTTTCTGTACTTAATAAGAAGCAATAAGAAGCTCACATATAACTACAAGTTCAAAATGTATTACTACAAGCTCATGTATTGCTACAAGTTCAAAAAATACAAGTCCTTTTGATGATTCAGAACTCTAAAAGTTCAAAAAATACAAGTCCTTTTGATGATTCAAAACTCTAAAAGTAGTATCAAATACTACTTGAAATAAGTGGCCACTTGTGGAAGTCAGGTCAGTCTGATAGTGTGACCTAGGAGTCTAAAGACCTGTTGTCTGGTCTGTCTGTCATGCCAAGCCCCTAGGGCTGATGGAATGTCATGGGAGGGGCTTAGCAGAAGACATCTGTGTGGGTTTCATTGCTGGTAGACATGCTCCTATGCAAGTTTGTGATTTCAACATGTTCTCAAGCTGCACTGCCTAGCACAGTGGTCACAAGCCATCTTTGCCATAGAACACTTGGAACATGATTAGTCTGAATTGAGATGCCTGAAAGTTTCAAGTATAGATCAAGTTTCAAAGACACAGAACTAATAAAATTATGTATGCCAATAATTTGGGGGTTTTTTTTGGTTACATACTGAAAGACTTTAGCTATATTAGTTAAATAAAAAAGTCTTTAACCTTATCTGTTTCTTTTTACCCAGTGTTGGCTAGAAACTCTAAAAATATTTTAGAATAAAACTAATACTTTTTAATTTTTTATTCTTTTTGGATCCGGTCATGAACTCTGGGCCTGGGCGCTGTCCCTCAGCAATTCAGCTCAAGGCTAGCGCTCTACCACTTGAGCCACAGTGCCACTTCCGGCTTTTTTCTTTTTGCTTATGTGGTGCTGAGGAATAGAACCCAGGGCCTCTTGCATGCAAGGCAAGCGCTCTACCACTGAGCCACCTTCCCAACTCCTTTTTAAATTTATTTGTTTTTTTTTTTTGTAACCAAAGAGAAAATCTTTGAAGTTATTAATTTGCTTAATATGACTGATTAATCTTTCTGATACTCTCTAAAACAAGTATTTAAAGCCAGGCATCATAACCTAGAACTTGGGAGTCTGACGCAGAAAAGTGGTTCTTAAAGCCAAAATCTGTCTCAGAAAAAAATAGTCCATCTCACAAATAGTTAAAAAAAAAAGCAAAAACAGCTGGCATTCTTTAACTTAAAAGGAAATTGGTGGCTTAAATAAAGTCCTTTGGAACCGAGACCATAAAGAAGGTGCTGATTGATCCAAATACATTATCAATTAATTGCCAGGTGTTTGTGCAGTTACTGGAATTAGATAAATGTTTTACTTCCAAAAGGGGGAAAAAAAAAATCTAGGCAGACTTGACTACACAGTAATTCAAATGTTCTGTTCAGCCAAACACACCATAAATAAAGTTTAATGCCAAACGACAACCTGAGACAGAGTGTTATGCTGCTACACATAGCAACCCAAGTTAACCATCTATCATATATAAAGGACACATGAATTAATTAGAACAGAAAAGGACAGTAAAATGAGTAAAATCATTAAAGATTTTCTCAGAAAAGTATTTGTCTACAGACAAAACATTATTTCCTTATCAAATTAAGATTAATCACTTACATTGTTGGTAGCAGTATGAAGAACTAGGGAAAAGGAGGGCATCTTGATAGCATAGCTATGTTTTTAATTTTGACCATAGTTAATACTTTCTTATAATTTTAAGGCAGCCAAAGTTAAAAGCTTCTGACAAAAACAAGCAGTTTTCTATATTCCCAAGGCCTATTGCACCAAGGTAGCTGCTTCAAACCTTTTGTTTTTCTGGTAAGACTTCTAGCTCCAAATAGCTCTCTCTCTCTCTCTTTTTTTTTTTTTTTTTTTGGTCCGGTCGTGGGGCCCCGAACTCTGGGCCTGGGCGCTGTCCCTCAGCTCTTCAGCTCAAGGCTAGCACTCTACCACTTGAGCCACAGCGCCACTTCCGGCTTTTTTCTTTTTGCTTATGTGGTGCTGAGGAATCGAACCCAGGGCCTCATATATGCAAGGCAAGCGCTCTACCACTGAGCCATCTTCCCAGCCCCACGCAGGCAAATTTCTGTGTAGACTTTTTCTTTTTATTCAATTGACACTTTGTTCTTACTGAAATTGTTCTGTTAGCTCGGTCTATTATCAGGTGTGATTGTTCTTGAAGCCCACTGAAAAGCTGTCAACACAGTGAAGGAATAGTCACTGTTATTTGAATTGCATTTATCTGATAAAATGTGTGGATAATAATTTGCTACAGAATTTCCTTCAATGTCATCAATTAAGCATACATTTCATATATTCTGGTTGTTGTTATTATCAAAAGACCTCCGATGCTTGGCAAGCAAGCCTACCAACACTTCTCTGTTTCTCTTTACAGGAGAGTCAATCTTGGTCTATCTGGTGTAAATATCTTATGGATTTTTGGCGAATAGTAAATCATCAGTTCCAAACATTTACCTTCCATTTGGTTGAACCAGAAGATGAAGATGAATCTAAACATCTTCAAGTTATGTCATCTTTTCAAATAAGGTGTGTGTGTGTGTGTGTGTGTGTGTGTGTGTGTGTGTGTGTGTGTGTGTGTGTGTGTGTGTGTGTGTGTGTGTAAGTAACTTCTACTCTACAGAACATTACCTTTGATTTTACATCTCGTTTCAGAAACCTAAATTGACTAAAACTGATGCTGAGGGGCCAGGGTTTGTTGTTGTTTTTTTGTCTTGGGTTTTTGTTTTGTTGGTTAATTGTGGGACTTCAACTCAGAGTCTGATCACTGTTCCTGAGCTTTTTTGCTTAAGGCTAGTGCTTTACCAGTTTGAATCAGAGCTCCACTTCCAGTTTTTAGATGGTTAATTAAAGATAAGCGTTTCATGGACATTCTTGCCCAGCTAGCTTTAAATCACAAGCCTCAAATCTCAGCTTCCTGAGTAGTGAGGATCATAGGCATGAGCCCCCAGCACCTGGCAATGCTGAGATTTTTGGCATAGAGTTGTACAGTTTCCTTTGATTAAATAAATGTATAAGCCCTTTTCACTGTAAGCCCCAAATGAGTATCATCCACATGATTCTTTAGCACAGAAGTGTTTCGTAGTTATGTTATTTAGTAGTTTGAATGCTTAAAAAGAAAGAAAATTGCTACTTTGCTTTATCTCTGTCTTTCTCCAGTGTTCTGTCAGTGGTCCTAAAGCCCATATTTAAAGAAATTAATTTCTAAGAAATGTACCAATTAATCCATGTATGCGTTTTAACTATCCTCATTACTTGTGCGGTGGGAAGTGCAGGCAGCCTGATGGAGGGTAGAGATCCATCAAGTGGCCTTCAGCCATGTGAGGAAGAGGGTTCTCTTGGGCTTTCTGCCTGGAGGTACTGAGAAAGCACTGCTGAGAAAGATAGGGGCGCCTCATACCAGATACTTTTCCTTCAGCACTCTTAGACATTTTCAGACTCAGCATCCAATGAAGTCAGCACTGGACCCAGCATCTGGGTTTTACTTCCTGCCAAAACATCAAGTAGGCAGTGTCTTACACTTTCTACCTGCACACAGGCCACAGCATCAAGATCTTGGGAATACTGAGCAGTTGAACTCTACTCCAGAGCTGCCTGGGGCCCACAGGGAGAGAAAAGGGGGGAGAGGGTTGCACATGTGTACCCTGGCATAACTGGTTGCGGGGTTACTGCTGGGGTGGGCCTGGACCTGGCTAAAACTCACGCATCTCACTCTATATCATTTATAAGCTGCTTCTCAAAAAGTTGTTCCCATTTTTGTTTTTGTTTTAAGTTGATGTCCAGAAGATTGGAGCTATCTTTTAACTACTTTGGGTCTGTGTGAAATCTGATTTCCAAAGGTATTGAACATGTCATGGAGTAACACTTGCTGTGCTTTTAAGCTGTATGGTGGCATATGCTTTATTAAAAATGTTAAAGGTGAAAAATTGGAAAAAGAGAAAAGGCATTTTCTTTTGTAGGGCTTAAGGTAGCTTTTAATTATACACATAAACTTTTTTTTGGTGGGGGGGTAGAGGGGAGAGCTGCTGCTGGGGATCAAACCCAGGGCCTCACATACACTAGACAAGCACTGTGTTGCTGAGTCACACCCCAGCCTATAATATTTTATTTTCTCAGTGACTACCTAAAAAAAAGAAGAAGAAGAAGGCAGCCAGGCACAAGTGGCTCACATTTGTAATCCTAGCTACTCAGGAGGCTGAGTTCTGAGGATTCAAAGCCAGCCTGGGCAGGAAAGTCCATGAGACTCATCTTCAGTTAACTACCAGAAAACTGGAAGTGTGACTTAAAGTGGTAGAGCACTAGCCTTGAGCAAAAGAGCTCAGAGATAGCACCCAGGCTCTAAGTTCAAGCCCCACACAGACAAAAATAAATAATTTTTTTTTAAAAATGCTGACTCTCAGGGCTGGGAAGTTGGCTCAGTGGTAGAGCGCTTGCCTTGCATGCATGAAGCCCTGGGTTCGATTCCTCAGCACCATACAAGAAAAAAGCCGGAAGTGGTGCTGTGGCTCAAGTGGTAGAGCGCTAGCCTTGAGCTGAAGAGCTGAGGGACAGCGCCTAAGCCCAGAGTTCAGGCCCCACAACCGGACCCAAAAAAGAAAAAAAAAAATGCTGGACTCTTATTGCTCACACCTGTAATCCTAGCTACTTAGATGGCTGAAATAAGAAGATCCTGGCTCAAGGTAGCCCATGCAGAAAAGTCCAGGAGATTCCATCACCAAAGTAACCAGCAAAAAACTGAGCTGGAGGTACAGTTTAAATGGTAGAGCACTAGCCATGAAAGAGTATACAGAACAGAGTTAGCTTAAGTCCTAGAACTGACAAAAGGGGGAAAAAAGATACATTCTAAATGGATGTATTATGTATAATCTCTAGGGGTACATACTACAAAAGAAAAGATGCTTTGCAAGCTAGTATAAGTTGCTATACTCTAATAATTTTGCTATATTAACTTTGGTTTTTAAAATGTTTCAGTTTGTACTTAATTATATCTTAAAAAATAGTTTGGTTGGAGCCCAGCTTAGACTACATAGCAGACTGTGTTTTCAAAATAAACAGCTTCAAGCCCAGGTCCAGATGGATTCACCACTGAATCCTGTAAGACTTTTAAAGACAAACCAACACCAATACTCCTCAAACTTTTCTGTGAAGTAGAAACAGGGAACAATTCCAAACTTATTCTGTGAAGCCAATATCACACTCATCCCCAAACCAGGTAAGGAACCAACATAAAAAGAGAACTACAGACCAATTTCTCTGATGAACACAGATGCAGAGTTCTTCAATAAAATATTAGCTGTCGAGTGCCGATGGCTCATGCCTGTAATCCTAGCTACTCAGGAGTCTGAGATCTGAGAATCACGGTTCAAAGTCAGCCTGGGCAGGAAACTGTGAAAGTAAACCACTAGAAAACCAGAAGTGGTGCTGTGGCTCAAGTGGTAGAGCACTCACCTTGAGCTGAAGAGCGCAGGGAAAGCACCCAGGCCCAGAGTTCAAGCCCCACGACTGACCAAAAAAAAAGCTTTGGAGAATCTAGAATAGATAAAGGCTATATATGACGCACCAACAGCCAACATCATACTGAACAGGGGAAACTAAAACTGCTTCCCCTAAAATCAGGAACCAGGCAAGGATGTCCACTCCTTCAATATAGTTCTAGAACTCCTAGTCAGAGCAGTAATGCAATATAAGGACAAAAAGGATTCACATAGAGAAAGAAGAAAGCATACTATCCCTATTTATAGATGACATGACCATATACATAAAGGACCCCAAAATCTCCATCTCCAAGCTCCTAGAGCTGGTCAACCACTTTGGCAAAGTAGCAGGATACAAAACTAACCCACAAAAATCAGTACCCTTCCTGTGTGCCAACAGTGTACAAGCAGAAAGGGAAAAACAAAAACAACTCCATTTGTAATAGCCTCCAAAAAAATCTCGGGATTAACCTAACCAAAGATGTAAAAGATCTTTATAATAAAAACTGTAAAAATCTGAAGAAACCAAAGAGGACACTAGGAAATGGAAAGACCTTTCATGTTCATGGATAGATAGCATCAATATTGTGAAAATGACCATACTGCCAAAAATGATACACAGATTTAATGCAATCCCCTTCAAAATCTCCATGGCATTTTACAAAGATAGAGAAAACAGCCCAAAAATTCATATGGAACAACAAAAGACCTAGAATAGTCAAAGTAACTCTAGGCAAAAAAA